CGTTCAGACAGGTGATCGTCGAGGCCTCCCCTGTGGCCGCACCCACCCACCAGGTCAGTGCTTTGCTCAGCTCACTGACACACTTTGTGTGGCCTACGGCGTTGGCGGCCCTACCCCTGACTGGTTTCCCCTTGTTCAGACAAACGGCCCCGCTCTGTGGGGCATGTCGACTTCTCAGTTGCTTGATCTCTTAGGAACTCCTCATGCTATGTATGCTGTTGTTGACTCTAGTGCTTCTGAATCTGTTTACTCGAGTGTTGTTAGCTTAGGTGCTAGTGTTGCTGAGGTGCCTATTGCTAGCGTAGGTACTTGTGTAGACACTAGTCTAGGAGCTGCTCCGGAGGACACTTCGCTGTCTTTCACTCTGGACTCCCGAGCTTCACACTGTTTCTTCCGCGACCACACGACGCTTACTCCGCTTCCTGCGCCAGTCTCTGTAGGACTGGCTGATCCCACTTCGTGACCACTCACTGCTCGCTACACTACTATGCTCCCGTGCCTAGCAGTTCCCTCGGGTTTCCTGACGGGCTTCCACGTCCCCTCGTTCTCCTGGAACTTGGTGGGTGTGAGGCCGCTCGTGAGTAGTCACGTGGGTGTCTGAATTGAGCCTTCTGGCGAGACTGCGGTTTGTGTCGACGGGGATACATACGCGCCTATGGCCACCTTTACCGCTGAGCCGGGCTCTGGTCTCTACACACTTCACACTGGCCCCCGAAGGCAGCAGCAGCAGCAACAGCAGCTACTGCCCCCGACCACTGTCACTGCCCCCCGTCAGGTTCCCTCATCTCACTAGGTTGCCGTGTCTCACCAAGTAGCTATGTCTGGTCAGGTTCCCGTGTCTGGTCTAGTTGCTGCATCTTGCTCCTGCCGGTCGCTTGCTCACCCCACCGTTCTGTGGCACCACTGCTTGGGGCACCCGTCCATTCCTCACCTATGCGCTATGTCTAATCAGCGTCTTGTCTTAGGCCTCCCGCGAGTCTTGCCGTCGCTGCCGCCTTCGCTTGCACCACCTTGCGGTCCCTAAGTCGAGGGTCGGCTGTGCACCACCCCTTACTCCTCCTCCCTTCGTCCGGCCACCGAGCCTTTCGAGACTCTCCACTTGGACGTCTGGGGCCCTGCCGCTCGCCTTGGCCCTGAGCGAGAGAGTTTCTTTCTGGTGGTCATTGACGACAACTCCCGCTACACCACAGTGTTCCCCTTGGCGAAGAAGTCCCAAGTGACTTCTACGCTGATTCGGTGGTTACTTACCACTGCAGACACTCGTTGTCATCGTGTCACATGTCTTCTCTCCGACCGCGGGGGTGAGTTTCGCTCCGGCGTTCTCGCTGGATTCTGTCACGAGTAGGGCATTCGTCAGTCTTGGACGCTTCTAGAGTCCCCGCAGCAGAATGGGGTTTCTGAGCGCCGCATAGGCTTGGTCATGGAGATTGCCCACACCTCCTTGACTCACGTCCGTGCCCCCCATTTTTTGTGGCCCTACGCGGTTCGGTACGCCGCTCAGCGACTGAACCTCTGACCCCGTGTCTCTCGACCAGAGGTTTCACCGACCAGTCTTTGGACCGGGTCCCCTGGTGCTGCGTCGCGTTTTTGTGTCTGGGGTTGCTTGGCACTTGTTTGCGACACCTCCGCGGACAAGATCTCCCCTCACGCCATTCCCTGTATCTTCCTTGGTTTCCTAGAGGACTCCACAGACTTCACCTTTTACCACCCTCCCCTTCACTGGATCTTTGACTCCCGTGACATCCGTTTCGACGAGTCCGTCCCCTACTACGTCCGTTACCCCTGTTAAGGTCTCCCGGTTCCCCCTCCCCCTCTCTTATTGACTTCAGCTCCCCATCCTTTTCCCTGGTACAGCCTCCCCCCCCTGTTCAAGCCCCGTCAGGTGTCTTCCACGCTACCCTTCCCCCCTCGGCAGCCCCTTCGGTGCAGCCTCCTTCCCGGCAGTCCTCCTCACAGCCTACTGCAGACCCTGCAGGAGCCGGTGTTCGTGGCGAGGACCCTAGAGGTGCTAGCTCTAGAGGAGTTGGAGTTGGAGCTGAGAGCGTACCTATGCAAGGTCCTGGTTCTGGGGGTGCTGGACTTGAGGCTGTTGAAGGAATTCGGCCCCGCCCTCGCATGGGCAAAACTGACTTCGTCGTAGGGTGTGCGGGAGGTGCAGCTGACCCTCTACAGGTGTGCAAGGATTGCCTGTACGCGAGGTGTACTAGGGAATCCATGCAAGAGTAACTGAAGCATCCGCGAGTGCAACACAGATGTCTCGTGCACATGTACAAGAGGCGCAGCTCGTACAGAGGTTCGCGGGTGTTCGTCTGCGCAGGGTCGCGTGTGACCCTGCGCACCCTTGAGACTGCACAGGCAAATTTTGGCCAGAAATTCGAATGTGCCTTAATTTCGACCAATGAGGGGCTGGCATTTTGAAATGTCGACCGAGGTGTTCAACAAAGGTGTTCGACGATGGTCGTCGACCCGCGACGACGAAGGTCGTCGACCCGCGACGACAAAGGTCGTCAACCAGTGATGACGAAGGTCGTCATCCTGCAGGGTTGCCAGGGACTTTAACTGTTTGACCGAGTTACCTGCTCGACGAGGTTCTGCGGAGGGTCGCGAACGTCTTCAAGGCTGCTGTGGCGAAGTCGACCGACGTGGCAGCACGTGGTCGACGTGGCTCATCAGGTGCAACAGTCTGCATGTGGCCGACCTGGCACCTGCGCAATGTGCTTGACAATGCACGTCGTGCATAACCGTCTACAAGCACCTGCAAAGTAGGTGCTTTCACATGCGCTTACAATCACCTGCGGATGTAGTGCTGGCAAGCCGCGCGGATGCAGCATTGGCAAGCCGCGCGGGTGCAGCGTTGGCAAGCCGCCATTTTGCAGCGTTGGCAAGTCGCACACAAGCTGCATTGGCGGGCCATAGAGATGCTACGTTGCCAGGTTGACGACTCTGTCACGCTGGCAGTCAACCTGCCTGAGTGCTAGCAAACCTTGCATGTGATGTAGTCAATCATTGCCATTGCTTGTTATCATTCTGAACTCTGTATTCTCAACTTTCCTTAGTGAAACTCTTGCTATTTTGACCTGTGAAAACTCAAGTCCTAGAGTACAGACAGAGCTACGATCACTCTGACAACTCGTGCCAACCCCATAGTCTAGCTCCCACTGTTGTAAAGTTACTCTCCGCAGAGGCTGAGCCCATGCCTGTAGGAGCCTCTAGTCCTCGGGGAGCTGGTGTTATTCGAGCTGTCCCTAGGGGTGCTACAACTGAGGGTGCGGGTGCACCCATTGCGAGACCTGGAGAGTCTGGAACTGGCCGTGTTGCTGCTGGTGGTGCTGACTCGGGGGGTGGTGCGACTGGTGTTTTGGAGGGCGGTCCTGGGGCTACCACCACCCCGGACACTACTCCTCCCCCCCGCCCCTACCGGACCCGGCACCAGGCTCGTGTTTGCCGTGCACGTGAGGAGCAGCTGGAGTTGGAGCGAGAGGAGAGAGAATTGGGGCGGCAGCAGCTGGATCTACAGCAGCTGGAGGAGCGGCAGCAGCAGCAGCAGGTGCAATAGCTACAGCAGCAGCCGTAGCAGCAGCCCCCGCAGCAAGAGCAGCAGCCGCAGCAGAAGCAGCCACAGCAGGAGAAGCCACAGCAGCAGCTGCCATAGCAGGAGCAGCAGCAGCAGCAGCAGCCGCCACCTCCGCCTCCTGTCTTTGGTCTTCGGACCCTTGGTCTCCCCTCTTCTTCTCTCCCCCCCCTCCCCCTCTCCCCTTGTCTACGGTCCCACGTTTCCTCCTCCTGACCCCACCCAAGCTGTTTTTCCCCGTTCTCAGCCTCCGTTGTCCCCTCCTCTTTCTCACGCTTGGACTTCTCGTTCTCCTCATGCTCGTCCCTCGTCCCCTGTCCCTCTCACTGACCTTTGTACTGTTCTGTTCCGTCCTAGTTCGCCTCGTTCGTTGTCGTCTGTGCTTTCTTCTCCCCCTGAGTTAACCCTCTTTGCTTCCCTTTCTACTCCTGTCACTGACTACTACCGCTCGTTCCGTCCTGTTCTCTCTCGTGTTCCCACCTCTCTTGTTACCAACCCCCGTGTTTCTGTCCTCTGTCTCCGCTATTCCTGCCAGATTCACTGAGTTTGCCTCTACTCGCCGCCTTGTCTACGCCACTAGTCTTGTGGCTGCTCCTACTACCAGTCCTCTGGCCATCGGGGGGCATCCACCTCATCTTCCCCCATCCCCCATCACGCCACACACACACAAGAAAATGAAGCTCTCCGCTTCCCTGCTTCTCCTCGTCCTCGTTTGCACCAGCTCTCGTTTCCCTTCAACACCTTTGGATCGCTACGATGATAACGCTTTTTGCGTTCGGCTTTCTTTTCGGAACGATCTTCTTAAAGGTAAGCTATGCTTCTTGTACTATAACGAGGGACCTGTGCGCAGGTTCTTGGTGTCTCGATTTCTTCTTCGCCTTCTCTACTCCGACATCCTGGGAAAGGTGAGTTGGGATTGCAAGTTGTTCGCGCTAACTTCGGTTTTTTGTGTTGTCACAGTTCGCCACTTCAGCAAAGGCGTTGTTTTTCGCACGATTCAAGGAATCTGATATCTTATCCTGAAGACCTCCCGGTCCAAGCCGTTTGTGAGTCAGGATGGACCACCTCTGGGTGCATTCTCTCATGCAAGGCCCTTGCGGCGGTCCAGCTCCGTCCTCCAGACCCTGGCCTACCTGTTCCACCTCACGACCAGCTCGCAAACCCTCGTGGTGGCCTGGTGTTTTTATGCTTCTCACATGCGCTCCTTTCCGACTTGGGTAGCCGAACTGGCTCCCTGTCATGTTCTCACGGTTGCCACGGCCATTGCCAAGGCACCTTTTTGCGTTCGAGCCGCTCACTTGCTCTCATTGCGCGATCCGGGCTTTTGCCTTCCGCGCTGACCCCTGCTGCTCCGTTGCCTTAGGGCTTCTCCCCATACCTCTGGTATAAACTCTTCCTCTTGTTTCTCTTACGACCACCCCTCGCAACCATGGCTACGAAGCATAACCCCGACCACATCATGACAGAGGGTCAGATCCTTGTCGGTGACGATACCCTCGATGATCTTGGGAAAGAATTCCTCGAGGATCTCTCTTACGGTACTCTGCCTGTGCTCAATGATGAGGTCGCGCACTGCGCTCCTGTCGGTACTCAATCGTCCTCGTCGGGCAAACCGGCGGCGAAAAAGCTGTGTGGTGAGGGGCAGTCCTTGGCTGCTGGCCCCTCTGGGGTCGCTTCCGCGTCAACCTCGGCTCCTCCGCCGGTTCCCCGTGCGAGCTCTTCCGGTAGCTCCGACGCCACGCCTCCTGCGCTTGGCCGCGCGCATGCTCCTTCTGCGCCTCGTCCGGCGCCTGCTTCTCACTCTCGGCCCGTGCAGCCGGAACCTGAACCCAAGCACGCTGCTGCTGGTGCAGCCAACAGCCTTGCTCCTAACGCTCGCTTTCGGAATTTGCGTCGCCACCGTACGACGGTCGGTACAGTCCTGCACACGCTGACGCGGAACACGCAGTCTTTGGTGGACGTGATCTTCCCTGAATCTTCCGCCGAGGATGTTCATGCTGCGGTGCTTGCGCGCATCTCGGCTCTCATCACCGGTCAGGCCTTTAACGGTGTCATCCTCTCGTACAAATCAGCCGCTGGTGAGGCTATACGGCTTCCCCGCCGTACCTACTCCAGGCACTCCTATTCATGGTTGTCTGCTAATGATGCAAGGATTTTCCGTTCCCTGTTTCCGGTTACTGTTCGTCTGGCTAATAACCGTGCGGTGGAAGTGAAAGTGTTCTCTGATCCTAACCTGGAGTTCACGATGGCCCGAGCCAGGGGCGACACTCACATGGTCCTCCACAACGTGCCACTGGGGTACTCTCCTGAACGCCTGCGTAGCACTCTACTGGCTGGCGTGACCAACGCTGGGCAGCCTTGGCTTTCGGATATCCGCCTGTTTCATCGCCTCAAAGACCCGTATGATGACTCCGCATACTCCCAGCTGCTCGGTCTGCCTGTGGCAGCAGAAGGTGATGTCGGCTTCGAGCGCATCCCCGCGGTTCTCTGGCTTCCGGGCCAAGAGGACCCGGTGCTCCTCAACATCTCGTCCCACTCTTGCTCCGTGTGTTCCAGTAACCACCGAGTGACTGACCACACCTGCTTTGCCCTCACCCGCCAGGCACGTCTCCCCAACCGTCACACCATCTCGGTGTCTCAGCTGCAATCGGTCAACGGTACTCCTCTCTTCTGGTTGCTCTTATTGCTTGCCGCTCGTTGGTTTCCTGACGGTGTTTTCAGTGAATTTCCGGCTTATCAAATTGCAGCCGTGCTTTCCTCTATTTCCACTGATCCCTGTTACGTGGATCCTCCCCCCTCACCCACGCTGCTCCCCTTCAAGGCCTTGAATCTCCCCTCTCTCCGAGCACTGTCGCTCTCTGCTCTTTCTCGCAGGACGGCTGATTGGACAGCAGCCTGCCCCTGGAGCTTTCAAGAAGGACCCAGGCCTTCTTCTCGTTGGAGTGGACCTCAATGTCGAGGTCTGGACGTGCTCTCTGTGCGACTTCGTCTGTGGCTTGGCGTTGGACAGCGCTATGTATAACATTGCTTCAGAGACTCACCGCAAGCGCCTGCAGGAATCGGCGCATCTGCCTGCTGTCAAAGAGAAATATGGAGCCTAGAGGGTCTCCACGCTGCTGCAGCATCAGCGTATCAGTGCTTTCCTGCAATAGATGCCCCTTCGGTGAGCCGGGCTTTTGCTCGCGCTTGGTCTGCCTCCCAGCTGCATGACGGACCTGATAGCTTGCACTTTTGCTATACCTTGTCCATGTATCACCTGCAAAAGTACTTAACTGCGCTGGTGAGGCTTGGTGCCTTCACTTCTTTCCTTGGTTCTTTCTTTTTTCACGCCCTGTGGATGCACGTGCTTAAGCATGTGAGGGTTTCACTTTGTTCCAAATGTTAATTCCTCTAACCATACGATGTATCAATGTCAACGGACTGAACAAACAACAAAAAATGTATGACCTCCGCTCATACGTATTAAAAAGCGAAAGGAAAATCGATATCCTCATCATAGTTGATACTAGACTTACCCTCAATTACCCCCGCCTCATTCTCTCCTTCAGACCCTCCTCCCATGCTCAATGCCCCCCTCCCTTTACTGATCGTGCTATGTGAAGAAATGAGGAATGAAGAAGAGAGGGGTTGCACTAGCAGCAGTTGGCATACATATAGGAAACCCTAATTGGGTTGTACTCGCTATAGAGTACCCCACTGCAGGCTAGACAATTATAACATTCTGACACACCCCCAGAGCCAAAGTGGGGTGTAATCAGCACAATGAGCAAGCACGCATAGAGCAGGAGTTCACAATAGCGAGCAAAGCTAAAGTTAATCACAGCGGGCAGGTGAGGAGGAGGAGGAACTGTGGAGGGAGAGAAGATGGGAGGCAACGACGGAAGCTGCAGAGGCACGGGCACAGGAGCGGCTGACTCAGTGGCTACCGAAGAAAGGGCGATGGACTACTGGAGTAACTGGCTCCGCGGCTATAGACGAGCGGCAGGAGCAACGGACCCACTAGCGACTGGTGCAACAGGCTCACTGGCTTCCGAAGTAAGGGCGATGGCCTACTGGCGCTGCAGGCGACACGACAGCTACCTTCACACAACCTCCTCCAGCTGCCCCACACCCCTCGACACACACCCCCTGCTCAAACCCTAGTTCCGCTCCCACAGCACCCCCCTTTCACACACCCCCTGCTGCACCCTAGGTTCACTCAAACCCCACCCCCTAGCACCACTCCGTCGACTCCCACACACCCAACCCCCTCAGCGGCAGCTGCAGCATTGGGAGACAGAGGAGGAGGAGGAGCAGGGGAGACCACACACCCGCCACCCCCTACTCGCCACCCCCAGACCCTAACACAGGGCAGGGCGGGATGGCGGGTAGGGAGGTTAGGGGGGGGGGGGGGGGGGGGGGGGGGGGGGGGAGGGGGGGCCAACGCGCGGCCTCCCAGGGCGCCAAAACAGGCGGCAGAAGGGGCGACGCTCGCCCCTTCCCCCAGGTCGCGCGCGGCCTTCTCAGGTCGCCTCGACAGGCGACGGGAAAAGAGGGGGGGGGGCAGTGCACGGGCCCCCGGTGCGCCGCGACAGGCGACGGAGCATGGCCGGGGCGGGGCCGGGGCAGGGTAGAGGCAGGGCCGAAAGGGGCGGCGACGGGGCCGCAAGGGGCGGCGACGGGGCCGCTGGAGGCGGCGACGGGGCCGATAGGGGCGGCGACGGGGCCGCGAAGGGGCCGCGAGGGGCCTGAAAGGTCGGCGACGGGGCCGTTAGGGGCGGCGACGGGGCCGCAAGGGGCAGCGACGGGGCCGCTGGAGGCGGCGACGGGGCCGATAGGGGCGGCGACGGGGCCGCGAAGGGGCCGCGAGGGGTCTGGAAGGGCGGCGACGGGCCGCTAGGGGCGGCGACGGGGCCGCGAAGGGGCGGCGACGAGGCCGCTGGAGGCGGCGACGGGGCCGATAGGGGCGGCGACGGGGCCGCGAAGGGGCCGCGAGGGGCCTGGAAGGGCGGCGACGGGCCGCTAGGGGCGGCAACGGGGCCGCGAAGGGGCGGCGACGGGGCCGCGAAGGGGCCGCGAGGGGCCGAGAAGGGCGGCGACGGGGCCGCAAGGGGTGGCGACGGGGCCGCTAAGTGTCGCGCGAGGGGCACGCCACGGGGCGTGCAGCAGACAGAGTAGCAGCGGAAGCATTTAGGTGGGCCCACTGGCCAGGAGCGTAGATGCTCTGATAGCATGTGAAGAAATGAGGAATGAAGAAGAGAGGGGTTGCACTAGCAGCAGTTGGCATACATATAGGAAACCCTAATTGGGTTGTACTCGCTATAGAGTACCCCACTGCAGGCTAGACAATTATAACATTCTGACATGCTAAGCCAGAAGGTCTTGCTATTTTAGTTTTTAACAGAAACATTTCCATTTCTTCTATCGATCCCTCTCCTGACGGGCGCTTGCTCTCGGTCCATATTAACTTCATGCAGGAGCAATTCCGTGTTGTTGCTGTTTACGCCCCTTGCACGGTCACCCTCCGAAGGCAGTGGTGGCGGGCTGTCTTTGCTCCCGCTCTTGATATCCCCACTGCAGCGGCCGGCACTATCTTGGTAGGAGATTTCAATGCGGTATGCGCTCCCGAAGATAGAAACCGCCCTCTTCTCAGCCACGAAATCTCTGAAGGCAACATTTTGTCCACTATTCTCTCTAACCACGGACTCACAGATACATTTCGAAAAAACTTTCCAACTGCCACCATGTTCTCCTTCTTTGCCATTCCGCGGAGTGATCAAGATGAGGATTCGTCCCCCACTGCTTCTCAGCTCGATCGTATATACGTATCTGACTCCCTGGCGTCTCGGCTACTTGACGCAGCTTATTTCTCGGTCTCTAAAGAAGTGTCTGTTCACGACCTCGCCCCTTCCTGCTCTTTTCAATGCGACAGCCCCAACATTGCCCCCTGGCCTTGGCGCGTTTCGCTGGCCGTTTTAAGACGTCCCCAGTTAGAACACATAGTCAGCTCGGCTTGCCGGTCTCTCCCTTCTCCTCTCGCCGCTCCTGATTTGGATCATTGGAAAAGATCCCTCTGCAATCGAATCAAGGCCTTCGCCGGTCAGGAAAAGATCCGCGTCAGGAAACCACTTCCCATTTACAGACTCTCACATCCCAACTTCGTATTCACCTTGCAGTCAACCCTGTCAAACATTATATGTGTTCTGCTTGTGTAGGCTACAGTGGGTTAGCCTATAGGGGGTACACAATTCTAGGGTTTCCTACTTGTACTCATTTCACTGCTAGTTCATTCATTCCTGTTCGCTGATTCTGACATGGTATAGAGCGGGTCCTTCTACGGACCGTTTTTTTTGGGCCCACCGAAGCGCCCCCCGAGGCGCGATTTTTTTTAGCGACCCCTCGGGTCGTCATTTTCCCTGCGGCCCCGCCGCTTTCACTGACGCGGCCCCGCCGCCCTCTCTGACGGGGCCCCGCCGCCGGCCCTTACGCGGCCCCGTCGCCGGCTCTCATGCGGCCCCGCAGCAGGCTCTGTCGCGGCCCCGCCCCGGCCTTTACGCGGCCCCGCCGCCTGCTCTCACGCGGCCCCGCCCCGGCTCCTTCGCGGCCCCGCCGCCTGCTCTCGCGCGGCCCCGCCCCGGCTTCTACGCGGCACCGCCCCGGCTTTCACGCGGCCCCGTCGACGGCTCTGTCGCGGCCCCGCCCAGGCCCTTACGCGGCCCCGCCGCGTGCCCCCGTCGCGGCCCGGTCGCCTCCTGACGGCTCCTGCCGTCACCTTCTACCGGCCCCGCAACTGCACCTGCTGGCCCCGCCGCTGCACCTACCGGCCCCCACCACCCAACCCCCCTTTTCCCGTCGCCTGTCGAGGCGACCTGAAGGGGCCGCTTGCAGAGGGGTGGCAGGTGCGTGGCCTCCCCTGCTTCTCCTCCTCCTTCATCGCTCACCTGCAGCCGCCGAGCCGCCCTGCACCCGAGCCGCCCAGCAGCCGAGCTGCCCTGCCGCCGAGCCGCCGAGTCGCTGAGCTGCTGAGCTGCTGTTGCTGCCGAGCCGCCGAGTCACCGAGCTGCTGAGCTGCAGTTGCTGCCGAGCCGCCTTGCCACCGAGCCACCCGAGTCGCCCGAGCCGCCGAGCCGCCGAGCTGCCGAGCCACTGAGTCGCCGAGCCTACTCTTCCCACCACTGGTGAGCTCTTGCCCTGCTAGCACGCTGCGCGTCGCCTGCTTGCCTGCCTGCCTGCCTTTTGGCTTGCCTGGCTGCCTGCCTTCCTGCTGCTAGTCCTGCTCCTGCTTCTACTTGCGGAGCCAGATGCAGCCCCAGCGACGCCTGCGTGAGTCCCTCACGCCCCAGCAGCTGCGTGAGTGGTACGCTGGTTGGGGCTGTAGGGGTGGCGACGCTACTCCTACTTCCACTCCTGCTGCTTCTACTCGTGGTGGCGGCCAGATGCAGCTCCCGCGACCCTCTCGCGTGTCTCTCACGCCTCGCCAGCTTCGTGAGTGGTACGCTCAGAGTGGAGGGTCTCTCAGTGCTGTTCGCTGCTCTTACGTGATTCGCACTGGTACTCGGACTGGTCAGCCTTGTGGGACACGTAGTCATACACCGTCCCGCTGCTTCGCCCGTCTGAGCGACGCCTGGCGTACCGTGTTTGGCGACGAGGCTGAGCTTCCCGACTGGGTGGAGTTGCTTAGGCAGAGGGTAGATATATATGCTCTTGACTATGATGCTATTCTCACTGCCATGTATGCATTGCCTACTAGTGCTGACCGTGCCGGTCACCTGTGCGTCCCGCCTGACCCAGGTATAGGACCTGCTGCTCTAGCTACTGGTGAGGCTGCTGCTCTGGGTGCTAGTGAGTCTCCTGCTCCAGGTACAGGTGCGGCTGCTGCTCTAGGTGCTCGTGAGTCTGCTTCCTCAGGTGCGGGTGAGGCTGCGCTCTCAGGTACCGCGTTGGCTTCGGCCTCCCTCACCTTTACACTTGACTCTGGGGCTTCTCGCTCCTTCTTTCGGGACCGCACCACACTCACGCCGCTTGGTCGGCCAGTTGCAGTCTCTCTGGCAGACCCCTCTGGGGGTCCTGTCCTTGCTCACTTCTCCACTGTCCTCCCGTGTCCGGCGGCCCCCTCTGGCAC